TTGGGCAGCCCACTAGTGGGTTTGGTTGGGTCTTTTGCTTGCTTTAAGTAGGGATTGAGGGGGGATTTCTAGGGTTATGCATTTGGAGTTTTCTCTTAGCCTCTTAGTTTCCTTATCTTGTTTTTCTAGGGAGACCTTGTCCTTCTCGAAGTGAACAAATTATATCTTTCTTTTGTGTTGAACTTGCTTCCCTTTCAATACTAAATGGATTCCCTTCTCTTTTTTATGATTGTGCTCTAATTTTGAGAGTTTTCCTTCAAAGTTTTGGAGGGTTTGTGCCCTAATCCGAAAATCATCAAAGTGCACAACTCTAAGGATTTTACCGTGGAAAATCTTTGCTTTTGATCTTGTTTTGTTCCTCTCATGCTCATTTGAGAGAAATTAGGGCAAAAATCGAATTGGTGAAACCCTAGGGCGTATCAGGATGTTCATAGATTGAGGAGCAGAATGATTACTTTTATAAAAGTGAAGTGGAAGAACAAAACATCAAAACAAGCTACATGGGAAAAAGAGGATAATATGAAACAATGGTTTCCTCATCTGTTTGAAAAGTAAAAAGGTTGAATTTTGGGGACGAAATCCTCTTAAGAGGGGAAGATTTGTAAGAACCAAAAATTTCAGGTATTGTTTAAATAAATAGGTATTATCGAGATTTATGTTATATGCTAGTTTAACTAATATTATAACATATATATTAACTCAAAATCTGAAGGGAAGCATTCCAGAGCAGAGCCTTTGGAATGGGACGGTTTGGGATTTGGGCGGTTAGATGATGGCTGGGGCCCACTATCCACTAGTGAGTGTAAACCGTGGATAATTCCTATTGTTCTAGTGTTTCGCTGGGAGAAAAAGGGCTGGAGAGGAAGCACTTCTGCAAGCAATTCCCTAGCAATTCACTGGAGAAGGTTGAGGCCGCATGCAGGAAGGAATGTAGTGGAATTTGGTTCGGCCAGAGCAAGTTTCTGCAGCGGTAACCGGAAGGAAATAGGGAGACTTTCAGCACAGTTGTTGAAGGAAAGGATTTGATTTCTGTAAAGGAAGATTTATGCATTTCCTTTTTGGAAGGAAGGCTAGTGAAAGCAGTGTAATTCTGATTCTGTGAAATACATTGAAGTACGTAAACTTGCAACTCATTGTAAAAACATTTGTTAAGATTTAAAAATGATTAATATGAAATTTTATGATCAATTGTAGTTTGATATCAGGGTGAGTATGAATTGATGATATGGTGAAGGAAGTTTAAGAGAGGAAATTTAAAAGATAGAAAAAGGTGAGAATCTTACATTTCCCTTATCTTTTATACTAGTTCTATTCAGTAAGGTTCTTATGCAAATTATAATTTAGGGTGACATCGATTATAAATTCTTATGCAAAGAGGATGCTTTGAAGTGACTTATAATAGATGAAGAATAAGAAATAAAGATTTGGAAGAAGCAACCCGTTTAGAAGGTAAGTAATGCAAATTAAAGTCTTAAATGTAATTCTTGTTAATTTCTACATTGTATGTTGGTATTTGCATGAATGCAAGAAAAATATACATTACAAGTAATTTTATGATAAAGGATGTTCTTAACCTAGTTTCCATATATGAAAGATCTCTAATGTATTTGAATCACGAGACTTTCAAATAAGAGTTGTTGTGTTTCATTAAAGATCTTGTTATTTGGAAATATTTTGGAAAGAATTTATATTCTTAACATATGGTACACTGTTTCATTACACAAATGGTTAACATAAAAAGATCTTTATGAAAGCAACAATACAAGTATGAGTTATGTCATAAAAGTATATTAAATATCAATTTAATATAAAATTTGGCTATATATATGATGTATGACTTACAAGGATAGTTGGGACAAAAGGGTTCTCAAATATGTAACTACCTTATAAGTGGGGCAAAAGGGACCCCAAAAAAAATGATACCTGCATAGCAGGTGGGGCAAAAGAGACCCCTAATGAGGCAAAAGGGACCTCTATAGAATTCAATGACGATAATGCTAGGTTTTCTTGGGCTCCATTGAATTTGTTTATGAAAAAATAGCCAAACTTTTAATGAGAAAAATTGATATTCAGTATGGATCTAAGATAACAGTTAAAGGTAAATGCCAAGTGAGATGTTTTGTTGTTTCTCTAGTAGTTTAAAATTGTTATCCATGTTCTAATGCTCTTAAATTGTTTACATGCAAGTTTAATACTAAATATAACTGCATAACTTACTAAGTCTTATAGCTCACCAGTATTTTCATTACTAGCTGTTGTTACAGGAAAATGGAAAGAAAGGTGGTTGCTGACTAGGTTCAAGTATTTCTATCCTAGATGTTAATTGTGTTTCTGTTTGAAAAACTAAACTAGAGGTATTGGAACATTCTCATGAAGTGTTTGTTTGGATTTTTCCTTAGTGGCTCTGTAATCATATTATATGGATGTTTAAAACTTTTAAATGCTTCCATTGTTATACCAGTTGAGGTTTATGATATATTTTATGTAAACATTCAAATGATGAATTGTTTCACGCTACAATACTGTTCATGGGTATTGTGGGTTGTTACAGCTTCACACTGTGCTTAGAAAATAATCGGGTTGATATAAAATTAATATAATAAGAGATTATCATAGGAAAACCTGCATACCTCTGACATTAGCCTATTTAAGGAACCAATATCCATTGCTCTAGGTCTTTCCCGGAAAAAGAATGATTGCACATTCCTCATCCAGACCTGCATCATCGTAAATATTTATATAAACATCTGACAAGAAATCTAAAAGTGAAATATGTATCAATATGCTGAAAATTTTTTGGACTACTATTATATGATTTGCTAGCTTGATTTCATGGAGCTTATACTTCAATAACAAAAGAAGTTACCGAGTAATTAAAAAAAAGACAAGAAAAAATAGGAATTACTCCAAAAACATAAATGAAATTTCCAACATTATCAAAGTGAGAATAATCTATTAAACTACCCATACGCTATAAAGGAGATTATAAAGCAGCAAACTGGATAAACGTACATCATTACGGGCATTGCCCGTCGAAAAATATATCAGAGCATTTGATGCATATAAAAAGAAGCTTAGATGGCACCTCAAACAGATACAACATTTCAAAACTGTCTTGCACAGAAATTTTGTTTACAACATTGAACAAGAACCATGGCCTTTTAAGCAAAACCAAAATTTTTCCTAGCATGCAGTCAGACTCAGTAGAGTGAGAGGGGCAGAATAACACAATAAATGAGAACTGATAAAGTAATTCGTTAGGCAAACAGAAAGGATGGGCTGATTGACCAGGGTTTAGATCTGGTTAGTAGAAGCCAAAAAAAGAGCTACACTATATAAAATTTTGTCTGGGAGATACAATTATATAGTTGTTATTTTATCCAAGTACAGGTGCTGGAATAGCAGTTTTTCAAACGTTAATGAAAGGCATGTTACCCTGTATTCTACTAAATTTCCTATCAGCATTTGTGAAAGACGAATTGAAGTATTTAACAGGTGTCAAAAAGCTAACCAGTTTATGGGATGTTTCAATAAATATTTAAAAAAGACAAATTCATACCAGTAGAATAATATATTCGTAGAAGCTGAGCTTGAAATTATGTCAAATAGTTAGAACCCACGATTTCTTAATATGATTCACTGTTAATAAGTCTGATGATTCATTTTAATTCAGAACAAAAGCATTCCCAGAGAATGTAAATGTGCCTTGAAACTTGTTCACCCTTAAGAAAGGAAATGTTGTGATAACGCATGAACCCTCGCTCTCGCAAGCTTTTAGGTCTCATTTTTTCCGAGGTAGATTGGATTTTAATTTAACCAGATTTCCTCCGATGATTGGCATCAGGGTTTATTTAATTTTGGTGTTTTGCTTCCTATCAAGGCAAGCCCTTATAATTAATTATCTCTTTTAACGCATAGAAGTGCACTCTCAATTAAGGATGAAAGTATATTTAATTATGCAAAAGTTTTAAATTTGATTGTAGGGGGGATGAAGGTAAACCCGATCAAGATCCCATGGTCCTATCATCCTGGATATACTATGGGTTTCAGCCTACTAGCGGTGACAACCGTCGATTGTAGTGTACAAGGAATATAATTAGCAGTCATGTGTTGCCTCCTCTCAGAGATCCCAAGTAAACTGAAGTAGTTAAATATAGGTTTTAGATTGGTTATGGTTTGGGGCTCATGTTTATTAGATTGCCCATTAATTTGTTTAATTTGTGGCTTACGGCTCCAATTAGGAGTTTCATGTATGCTTGGTTTTGGGGTCGGGGCTTGCAGCTTTCATTGAAAGTAGCCCATGTAGCAGGTCTTATTGCATCACCTGGAAGAAACTCATATAGCGGGTCTGAAGGCCTCTATTAGAGGTTGCTCATGTAGCGAGATTTAGGGTTAGGTTACTTTAGAAGTTTCCTTAACATGCGGATTTTACTGCTTCCCTTTGGAAGTAGCCCATATAGCGGGTATTACAACTTAGCCTTATAGGTTAAGATGCCCATTGGGGGGGAAGCCTAGGATTAGGTTGTTGCCTATAGATTTCCCCTAAAATCGAACTTATGACTTTGGTTGGAAGTTGCTGGAGGATTTAATTTCAGATGTCCATCACTTCACATAATAGATTTGTCTAGTGAAATAGTTAATAGTAAGATACATTATTTCTATTAAAAATGACTTATAGGGTTTAGGTTAGCGAGACATAGTTTTATACACTTCCTTATTCTGACACTGACATCAACGGTTTGTTTTGCCAGCTTTGCTTCAGTACTAGCTTGTAGTTGTAGTTGTTTTGACATTTACTAGCTAGTAGCTATTCTCTACTTTAGCTTTCAGCAGTGTGCTTGTTTTATGCTCGTAGTTTTCTTTTGCCGCAGTAGCTTGTTTTGTTTTCTTATTAAAGCCCTATTGTTTGTTCAACACGTGCTTTTCTTTACTAGTTTGGTTTTTTTTTTACCCGGTGCTAACTTTTGTCCACTTGTTTGCAGGTGCTTGTAGCCACTAATTGCAGGAGCTTACAGTTGTAGCGTTTACTAAGAGCTAGAGCTTGCCAGGAGCTGGAGTTTATTTTTTTTTTTTTTTTTTTTTTTGGATTTTTGGAGTTTTTCTTTCTGTTTTGTTCTTTGTTTAGTTTTTTAGGAGTTGAGTTTTAATGTCGATTAGTGAAAAATATTTATTTTTTGTTCTTTTATTTTATTGCATTAATTAATTAAATAATTAAATGATTTTAAATTTATTTTAAAATTAACCGCTAAGCTCGTTAATTAAACTGCATTTTAAAATTATTCAATTAATTTTGATTTAATTATTAATTGAAAATTAAATTTTAATTTCTCAATTAATTTGATTAAAGTATTTATTTTATTAAAAGTTAATTAATTTTTTTAATAATTTAAGTTAAAATGTGAGTTTAAATTGTATTTTAAAATTATTCAATTATTGATTTAATTAATTTCTTAATTAGTCTAATTAACTTTATTTTGACTATTAATTGAATTTAATATTAAATTTAATTAAATGAGGGTTTATTTTAAAATTAATGAGTTTTAATTAATTTTTTTGAATTTCATTTTAAGTGGTTAATTAACAGATTACAAGTTCTCTTGGAGATTTAAATTTAATTAGTTAGCTTTGTTGATTAAAGATTTTAAATTTAAATTCATTAGTTTAATTAATTAGTTAATCAATTTAATTAATATTCAATTTGATTTTTAATTAAAATTATTTGATTATATATTATTTATTTATTTATTTTAGTTAGCTTAATTAATTGAGTCAATTAATCATTTGTTAATTAAATTTGAAATTTAATTTGTTAAAAGATTTCATTAATTAAGATAGTTAGATATTACTTAGTATTACTACTTTCTACAATAATAATAGTAAAAAAGAAAAATTAAATAATAATAATCATTATAATTTATTATTATTTTTATTATAATTATAATAGTTATATGCTCCTTATTGTTTCAAGAAAAGAAAAATCAAGAAATTGTTTGGATGTGGGCTTGTTCACAAGAGACATGAACGTGGCTAAGAGAAGGATTCGTTCCTTCATGAATAGGGGGAGAGTGTCGCGATTCAATATTGAAAGCCAGATTGGAGATCCTTGCTTGCGTGTATAAGAAGTGTGGCTTCGGATTTTGTTTGCTTGAGACGGGCAGAGGAATCGAGTGCGGAGGAGACGGATAGGCCGAAGGCTCGTTCGGACTGGTAGACGGATGCTTGGGCCACTTGTGCTAGAGGAGAGGGCTTTGGACAGAGAGGACCACCCCATGTGGGAGTTGGATGTTGGGCTCGGTGGAGTGTGGTTGACGGAGGCGGAAAGGGCCGCTTGTGCCAGTTCGCACATGGGAGCTCGGTAGCAAGCTCCGGCGGTGTAGCTTGTTCGTGCAAGACAAAAGCCAGAGGCAGGGATCGGGCATGATCATGTTGGAGACACGGGTGTGTCTGCGGGCTCAAGAAGTGTCCGTGAGGCTCACATAATGGCTTGAGTGACGGAATTTGCTTGCGTACAAGACAGGGAAACTAGAGCCCAAAAACCGAAAACTCAATCTCTTCTATCTCTGTAAGCATAAAAAAAACTTTCATTCGTTTCTTCTTTACTTTATGCCAATTGCGACGGTTTTACTTTCGAGATCATGGAGACGTGAGACGACGTGGTTCCATTTACTGCTGACGTGTTTATTTCTTTTCTTTTTTTTCTTAAGTGCATGAATTGGCGAGCATGAAATTTGATTAAGTTACATGCAATACTCTATGGAATGGATTTAGTATAACTAACAATCTGCCGAGCATCAAACCGATCGAGTCAAATTAATGAGTTTCTCCCTCGACTCATAACAGTGGCAAAACTCAATCTCTCTTATGACTTATTTCTGAGCTAAGTACTTTAATTTCTCAATGCTCCAGAGGGCTCAACACATTCAAAATCTCATAAGACTCAGAGACCATACAAGTTGAATAGATGAGAGAATCCTTACGGTCTAGATATTTCACATTGAAGTGCTATCATTAACTTGAATGTCCGTATGATTCATTTGTCTTCTCATCCTATATATTATAATCGTGTCATCTAACATCAGGATGGACCATGCAAAACAACATAGTCCACCAAGTTACTTTAAAGTCTTCCATTATTCCGTGCTTGAACTCATTTTGGAACTTGTCCTACAGTATGAAACCTAACTCTTTTCTGCTTTCCCAAAATATAGTGCCCCATAGTGGTTAAGGCAATAGTTGAAGCGTCCTTTGAAGTTGGTCCTAGTAACACATAGTAGCCTTCCAACTCTACAAGTCTTCATGACGGTCATAAAACCTCTACAAACATTTAGGATCTCAATATCTCCATAAGGTTTATACCGTAGATCGTTCAGAGCACTTAAAGATACAATGTTCACTCTCAAATCTAGCACATATTTCACTTCATAAGTTTTTTTTTTTTTTTTTTACATAGATTTGAGCAAAACTATTATCTATATTTCAAAATAACTAGCATAATCACAAAAGCAGTTCAGAGTTAGATCATACTTTCATGCTCTGCTATAACAATGCAAGTATGCTCTGTCATGTGAACTTCAAATGTAATTTGCAACAACATAAGCTATTAGATTTCAACATCAATGACAAGGCTAAAGAAATAAATTTGAAGAAACTAGAAAATAAAGAATGAAAAATAATTAACTTATACGAATAATAATGCTAACCTTCGCAGAAGAGATTTCAGCTGCTAATATTTTAGTTTCTTCTACGTCAATTGGAAACTCCATAGCTTTGGATAGTATAACTTCCATTTTTCCGATCTATAATACATAAAGGAAATAGTTACTCAAAGGAGTTGAATCCTTTTATATGCCCAAACAAAAAGCGTTAGCAGCAAGCAGTAACAAAATTAAAAAACTGCAGCCAGACTCATGATTACAAAAGAGAAGGGAATAATTAGCAGTCACAAACTATAGGAGAGCATGGTAACTGAGATAGACATGATAGGTTTCCACTAAAAGCTACATTCAAATAATTAATAATCAAACAAATCTGTAAAAAATAAATAAAACGCAAAAGAACCTAATTATCCGACCCAAAAAATCACAGAGAAAACTCCAGGGACAATTTTTCTACAGATACGTTTCAAGAATACAACAAGTATGCTGAAAGAAAATAAGTAACATTGATCTCACTTACATCTAAGCGAGATGAAAAAGCTTTTCTTATTTCAGTAACCAGCTTCTTTGCAACATCTGCATATCCCTGAAAATTAAAGACTAACCGTTGTGGAAGTTTTTTAAAAAGAGGACAAAGAAATCATATATCTGTGAGAAACAGCATCTAAAACCTTCAACTTTAGAAGACCCGGCTCATAACAGGGTATAGGATCAATGCTCAGCACCTCGTCAATCTGGTTTAAAGATATTTTACCAACATTATCGTTCCTAGAAAGGGAGGAACTCTCCACTCGAAAAAGATAATCTTTTACACTGAGCGCCCACTTCTGAGCATCAATCAATTTACTGGAAACATGGCGCACCTGGTACATTCCAAGAACAATAGAAATAATATAATATAAGTATGTTAATTAAGGAAATTGAAGAAGTGATGGATATAAAACCATACTGGATCCATGTCATGCCCACCCCAAAGAAATTGTTCAGCTTCATTCAGGATAGCAACATAAGCACTATTGGAGAACGGGATCTCAAAAAGATTGCAAGCCTTGGAAAGCCAATCTTCTGCAAGTTCAGCAAAAGTGACTTGTCCATTTTTAACCTAAATATGAGATGTAGTTTCAGCGCCCAATATATGTAAGAGAAAAGCACTTGATTTTTTTGCAATATAATAACAACAACAACAAGCCTTTATCTCACTACATGAGGCCAGCCACGGAAATCTTTTTTCTCCATTGTGTCAGGTAAAGAGTCAAATTCTCATTTAAATCTAACAAAAAAAAGGTCATTTCTAATACTCTCTAACCAAGTCTTTTAGCAATGAAATTATTATTTACAACCATTAGAGAACAATGGAACAAGAAACTTCATGTCAGCATCAGCAAATTATTATACTTCCCTGCCAACAATACAGACATGTCGATGTCTAATCAAGGAATATAAGTCATGAGATGTCACATCTTAAAAATAGAGTTCATGTTGATTTAAAGACGAATTAAATGATTTGCCAAAAATAGAGTTCATGTTGATTTAAAGACGAATTAAATGATTTGTAAAAAAAAAAGACGAATTAAATGATTTGCCAAACACATTTGAAAGCGACAATAAGAAGGATAGAATTGGCAACAGCCAAAGAAATAAATAAGATAGCACATGGGAAAAAAAAAAATACACGAGCATATTAAATTCTTGATATAAATACACAACAAAACCAGAGGTCTGTTAAGAGGACAGAAAAACAGTTGGTGTGTCCGCTGCAAGTCCACAATGGATGCCCGAACCATGGACCTGCATTTGACTACGGCGGATGCCCGAGTCATAGGCACACCTGTGGAACTAAGGTGGCCAAGCCTTCACTATAAAGTCTTAGTTGCGCGTTCATCATAAATCTAGACTTCAAGAGAAGATGATTATGATAAGTAGTCTGCCAATTTGGTAATGTAATAATGGAATATGAGATCAAGTCCTTGGTACTGCAACTGCCCATCTAGAGGGAAGGGACAATAGAGGGTTGTCAAGAGGGAAATATAACAGCTAATGTGCCTTCTACGTATGGGGTGGATGATAAACTTATGGGATTGCATTCGATTGTGGTGGGAAAGTCATGGTCATAGCAATGCATTTATGGAACTAGGAAGATAGAAATTTTGGCAAGCAAGCCTGAGTTGTAAATTTGCCAATAGTCCATGCTTTTGGATGAGTTGGTACTAAATGGTCCCAGATCAATTTAGTGGTTGTTGATATGGTAATTGTAATCGTTATTTGAGAAAGCTTGGATGGCAAATTAATATTCTTCTAAGTCTGCTATGTAAAGCATCAGGTCTTGTGATTTATGGAAATAGGGATGAGTTTGGGACTTTGTTGATTTTTTACCTATATTGGAGTATGTCTTGATGATATATTTGAATAGACGAATCCATCACGTTCAAATTTCCAAATATCAATGTGATCACAATTTAGTATTTTATGACGTTACCAAATTTTGGTTATTTTTATTATAGTAAGTAAGAATTGCGAGGCATGTAAAAAAACCACTCAATTGCTTAATGAAAGTTCATATTCAACTCAAACTTGTGTGTATGGTTGAATGCAGATTTTTTGAGTGTGGAGCATATATTGATTGGCGATTGCCACAAGAAGACTTCTCATTGTATCTGTCTGAGACCTAAAATTTTTATTTGGTGACTTCCTCCCTTGCTACTTTAAAACAACATAATTTATGAAAGGTTTGCACATGTGAATGATTTGTGGGTATTTTATTACAATATGAATTTTTAATTACAGTGAGAGTCTTGATCAACATATTGTTTTATTTGATTTCCATGTTAATGCAAAAATTTTGTTTGAATGATCTTCAAATTATCATTTTGAATGAATTGTATATGCTACAAATCTTCCTTAAAAGAGAGTTTGCCTAGATTGAACTTAGTGGACTTTACATCTATCTTTGGTGTGCAGCTTTGGTTCGTAACATTCCAAATCTAAGTTGAGAAATTTTAGACAACAAGACATCCTACATCAGATTTGATACCCTAGCCCTTAAGGTCACATCATCATATCAACTAAAGGGAGAACATAATAATTAAGTCAATCAACAAGACAAAAATAATATACAAGGTATAAAAAAATTTCAGTAAGCTATAATTCTAGGTAAAAGATATATATCAATCATAAGGATTAAAATAGTATTCCTACTTTAGAAAGAATATATAATCAATGGAATTTTCAATTTGGGTTGATAATTAAGAGAATTTCTTCAAAAGATACAATGTCACAACCTGGCCCGGAGACTCGAATTAACGAGTCGGGAACAGATGGTCGATGATTGACTAAATTTTTAATTACTAACTAACGATTTTCAATAAACAAAAAGAGACACTTTATACGTTATCACAAAATTATCTTGATTGGGCACGAATCTCGAGGCAAAATCAGTTCAGAAACTTCAAAAATTAATTTCGATAGCATATGAACTCCGATTTCAGCGAGCTTATAGTCAAACTGAGCGTCTCGGAGATACGAATCCAACGACACCAAATTCGACCCAATCCGAGCCCAAATGAGTCTGAATCAAGGACCCGAAGCGCTGTTGGAAGGTTCAAACCGCAATTTGAGTTACCAAACGGTCTCCGATTTTATCGAGCTTATACTCGAATCGAGCGGCTCGACGAAACGAATCCAACGAGCCCAAGATCGCTGAATTCCGACATCATTAAGGCCTTCAAATGTCCTACGAACGATGCACGATCGAAGGGTTCAATATCAGCCGTCCATTCAAACCACTCCCTATGCGATTCACGCCCTGATCATCAAGACTAATTGTAACAAGGCCAATGGCCAGCTCCAGAAAAACTATAAGAATATGGAGCCTCTTCTAAAGCACCAAAGGGGACTCATAGTGTAGAGAGTAGAAGGAAGCAAGAGGAGGAGAAGGGAAGAAAGGCTCCTCCTCGACTACCGCCGGGAGCTCTGTCCGGCCGCTGAAGAACTCCGGACCTCTGCCCGGATTCGGAAGAGTACGCCAGAATTGCTGGCCCTAACTTCCATGGGATGGCGGAAATTCTTTCCCAATTTACAGCAGAGTTCCTCCTTGACGGGCCGGGAAAATCCGCCTAGTGAAGCCGGGGGAGTTTTCCTTCCTTTGGCCACGCAACAGAACGGTCAAGCTTCTACCCGACGTCGGAACCTTCACTCTTTCGCGCAAGTTTCTATCGCGACACGCGGAGCTTGTAACGGTTATGCGACTTCGCTGGACTCTACTGCGAAAATGGATTCTTTTCATCGTTGGACTTCTACTGAAGCTGGTCCTTTCTTGATCTTCGTCGTCAGACTACAGTCTTTTCCCGACACCGTCCGGCGCAGCCGACTACGAGTCCTCCTGACTTTATGTCCGCCCGCCGAACCTACAGTGCATGTCCGACTTACGTCGCGCCGCCGACTACAGTCCTTCTGACTGTGTCGTGCAGCCGGACTATGGTCCTCTTCTGCTTGCGTCGGCCGCGCGACTCAGTCCCTTGTGACCTCCGTCGCCGCCGACTAGTGGTCCTCCTGCTGACTTAAGTCGCCGCCGACTACAATCCTATTGTGACCTCGAGTTGCCGAGCCGACTAATGGTCCTCCTGACTTAACGTGCCCACCAACTTACAAAGCGGTACCGAGCGACTCCGTCGCCGCCGACTACGGGTCCTCCGACCAAATGAACATGTATATAGTGATTCTTTTGTTATTCATGATCATGGTAATGGTAGCTCTAGTAAAATGTACATCAAGGCTAGAGGCCGTTTCTGCCCAAAGGAAAGGGCCGTTGCATTTGGTAATCGAGCTACAATATTAGTGGATGTCATTCAAACTGGGTAGGCCTCGCGTGGTTTTCCCTGCCTGGTTCAGGGGTTTTCCACGTAAAAATCTTGGTGTCTCATAAATGCTAGACCCTCTCTCTAATCTGTTGGCGTGCCGGATTTTCATACAACGCTAAGACGATAAACTTTATATGTCTCTGTCGCCCGCGAATGACTGCTAGACGGCAACAACACTAAAAGTCTCAAATTTGAAACAAATGTGAATAAAATTATTTAAATACATTTCTTGCAGGGTGCGTCGCGCCTATGAATACACATCTTTCACATCTTCCTACTCAATTGTAGTTAGATTGAATTTTATAGCTTGAATTATTTTTTCAATAGGAAGGATGCGAGTCATAAAAGAACCAGTGAGTATTCATGGCTTCTAAAACTATAATAATCTCAAGGCACTTGTTAGACAAATGGCATGATGCATTTTTCCAAACATAAATAATTTTATTTTCAAACCTTCCATTGATAGTGCATATACATATATCCATCTCTTTAGTCATATCATTATCCCATAATCTTTAGTCATATCAATATCTTCTTAAAATAATAGACCGTCATAAAAGGTCACCATCTAAAAATGATATTAATGAAGGTACTTCCTTTTTATATTTTTCTTTTTATTTTGCCTTGTTTCCATGTATGGTGCACTGGGTACATTGCGTTCCCCAGGTTAGTATGATGAGGGGTTGGCTCCATCAGTCAACATGCACGATAGCAAGCATGTCTATTTTATCATAGTAATTTTATCTTCTTCAAATTCATTTTCATAGTTAATCTAATATAATGAAACATCAGCGATATAAATGAATGGATGATATCTGGTTATAATATTAAATTCAAGTGCTTCTAAATTCATCATGATCAGTTGTCTTTGGAAAAATAAAATCATAAAATTATTTCATAAAACATTATAATAAGCAATTAAATAGATAATAGTATTTGATGCATCATATGTAGGAGAAGCAAATATCATTATTGTCATTAAAGACATGAGTACTCACCTTTTGTGAACTTAGGAAATACATCTGCTTTCACTTTTACTCCTAATTCCAATGATGATAGATTTAAAGCGACGCAT